TACAATGATGATAAGACAAGTTGACAACTCCAAAAGCTAAAAAAAAAGAACAAAAACACATTCATAAATGTTTTAGACAAGTCATCGCTGCCCACCGCTGTTGCTCTCCACATCTTCCGACACTTGCTTACTGCCACCCACCCGCTTGATGTCGCTCACTGCCGCCGACTCCTATCACCACTCACCGGTAATGCTCGCCCGCCCGTAATCACCTAGGCTTGCCCCCCATTTACCGTTACCCGCTTACTGTCGCAGTCCATCTGCACCACTTCCATCACCGCCAGCATGCCTGTTGTTGCCGCTCTCAGCTGCCATACACTGTCATTGCTCACACACCATCACCACTCACTGCCACTAGCTGTTGGCACTGTCTCCCACATGTCATAATTAGCTTCCACCCGTCTTCCACCTGCCTCTTGCTGCACCTAAAATCGCATGTCATCTTCATTCACCACGTGCCTCCTCTCCTGCGGCCACCATCGCCGCCCACCATAGCCACCCACTATTGTCGCCTACCACCGTCACCCTCCACCTGCCACCCACCACCATTGTCCGCCGCTCCTTTCCGCTGCAGGCTACCCTTTGCTTAAGTAAATACATTATTTTTAATCTACTTTAAACCAAATAAAAAATATAAAGTCCTACATTTTTTTACAGTGAACCAAAGTATCTGAATTACATTGTAATCATGGTGTTATGTAAACCTTTTACATTATATTTCATTTTTAGCAAACAAAATGAGTCCTATGTCACTGCCTTATTGCACTTACATTGTAGTATTTCCTCCCAGACACTACATACTGCAAATAGGTAATAATAACATGATTACTCCAAATCTCTTGAGATAGTCACTACTTCTTTTTTCACTACTTTAGTGAAATGTGATACGTTGAGATAATGGCCATAAAGTGTTAAATAAGTGGTTAAGGAGTAAATGATCGAACATAGCATTGTAGTCATCATAGAATCAACTATGATGAAGTAAACCATTATTATGAATTACTTATCTTTTTCACCCAAATTGATTCGTTAAATTCTTTCTTATCTCCCCAAAATTCATAAAAGTAGCCCAAATTATATGGTAAATTTGACAAACCAAGTTTTTTTTATCAAAAAATAGTTTTAAGAAGAATGTTAATAGAATTTCTTGTATTTATAAGAATATTACTTATCTAATAATTTGTAGTTGGTGTCATAAACACTATTACATAATTTTAAATAATTTCCATAGTAGGCAGGCCTTCATCGTGAAGATGATGAGTTGTTGGTTAACATCTTGATAACGAGATGAAGATACCAAATACACTTCTCTTGAGTGAAGTTTATTAAAACTTATCTGATGGGATGCTTTTAATTTTTACCCATTAAGAATAAATGAAGGATCTTTGTGATATAGATCACCTAATCCCATGCTTGTTCATTGTGAGCTTCCTTGATTGATGTCTTTCCCTACCCAACATGACAAACTCCTTCTGCTTCTTGGCTTTGATCAACTCTTTAACTAAGCTTCTAAGGTGTCAGCACCCTCAGTTTTATGATCGAATTAATGATGGTACACATAGTACCTCTATGTGTCTTACAAGTGTTCTACAATCTTCATAGGCATGACCTTCCAAAAATATTCTTAATTTTGAATGACCTCCACTATTTTGGCTATTGAAACTCATAAAAAAAACATGATTGGATAATTAGTGGGTGCAAAATGGCATCCTCCTCTCCACTTGATCATTCACTCATCTTTTCTGATATTAAATTTGCCTCTTTTCCTGATAAACACGCCTTTCTTGAACATGCACCTTTTTCTTGAAGGACGTGGTTAGTATTCTTCCAAATTTGGTCATCCTATATGTCACATGGTGTGACTTGCACCTTTCTCAATATGGTTGAAGTTTCTCTTTGGTCAATGTGCATTATGATGCCCATGTTGTTAGTGGCTAGAAAAGAATTATATTCTTTTATAGAAAAGTAGACGTTGGAATGCTCCAAAAAATTGGCTAAGGTTCAAGTATTTTTATAGGTCGAGTGCATAACAAAGGGGGCATTCTCTTAGCCCTTATGCTAATACAACTTGGGCTATTATAGGTTCAAGGTCCTATACCTCCAATATTTTCCTCTGAAAATGAGCAGCAAATTATTACAGTCTTTCTTGCATCCTATCAAATTTTCAACTGAGCTCGCAAACTCTGATGTAGCATTTTGGCACTACCAAATTACATTATGAATGTGTGCTTGAAGTTTTCTTAGGAGATAATCTCTTTTAGTGGTAAGCTGTTGAACAATTTTTAACATCAATTTCTTCAAAGTCATAAAGAATAAATGACATTTCAACTTGTCATTTATCTTTAACAACTAGATGATGGACTTGAATGAGCTGATGGAGGGTTTTAATCTTCCTTAATAAGATTTCAAGGACATAACCTTGAATAGTTTTGACACTTTTAATTCAGTGATCTCTTTAAGGAAGATATTCTCTAAATGATATAGTCAAGGAGGTTTGAATCTCCTCCCTCTTATTTCATACTTAGATGGGCTGATCAAACACTACTAGGGTAGTAAATTTTATCCATCCACCAAAGCGAGCGTTGGGGTTCTTCAAACTTTAGTAATGAGCAAATTCTTTCATCGTACCAGAGCTTTTGGATGAGGTAGGAGCATTTACTCTTCTGCTGCTTATGTTAGTGTTTCTCTTATCATTTTTGTCATTTTGTTCTTTCAACTCATTAATCAATTGAGTAACAAAATCTCTAGTATAATCCATGTTATTAGTAACTTTTCTATGATTTGGTTTTGCTTCTTACATGCATCTTCCTCTTATTTGTGGGATGATTTATGCTCACCACACTTCAAAAGCATATTAAATCCCAGTTTTTCCATAAACACACGTCTCAAGAAAATAATTATGGAGAGAAAGAATGGACAGAAGAGAGATGATTTTTGTGTTTACTTAAAAGTAATTGAAATAGAGTGTCTAAAGGAAAACCAAAATTGGGAGTTTTCCTTGTTACATAGATTTTTCCATAAATTTTGATTTTTTTGTTTACAAACCTCTATAACAAGGGAAATCCCAGTGTGTTCATTTGTTATCCCTTGTTACATTGATTTTTCCATAGCTATAGAGGGGGGTTTCCTCATAACATAAATAGGGGGTCATACAACTACAACTGTAGAGATCTCTGACTTATTCCCTTTGTCTTCTTTCGGCGTTAGCATATAATTAATATTATCTTTGGTATGTTATCCTCTAATAACACCCTATTTCATCATTTATTTCATGTGCATTGGTTGAGTCACATCCTCATCAACCTATTTGACTCATAAGATACTTAATCACTAAGCTAATTTGACCTTGAGGTGAATTAGGTCTCCTTTGATTAATTTAATCAAGATTATGTAACAAATTGAGTCGACTAACGAGTGACTTGATCTTGTTGGATGAGAAGATAAGGTTTGTAGGATGGCCTGCGCTCAAGCGCCTGTGCTTCGGTAGTTCATGCTCAAGAGCATGCAATCGTGCTTAGATTGTTGAGCTGAGGAATTTTAGAGCTATCTTAGTGCATCATCTAGATCTTTTGTATTTCAGAAAAGTTCAACCCAAAGGGAAATATGGGCGATTTCAACACGTTGCATCATGGTGGAAATTACACCCTCAACCATTATGTCGCCGGTAAATACACGCATTATCCAGATCTTGATCCTAAGTTCAATATGATTGCATTTTTTGCATACATTTGGCAAGTAGTTTTCTTTTCTCCTGTCTTCTATATTATATATATATAT